CAGATGTTTCAGCCAGATTCCTCTCAATGTTGAATATTTATGAAGCGCTCACAATAAGATCAGGAAAGAGAACAAAAAAAATTAATAAATCCTTTGAAGCCTCAGGTTAACGACCTAAAACAAAAGAGGTGTGTGGGGTCAGAGGGGAAAGAGGGAACTAGAGTCCTGATTTCTGCTCTGCTCCTGAAAGTCAAGGCCCACCTCCCACACTCTCCCCCCGTGCTTCCACTCGCACACTCAGATCTAGATGACACGGAGTCTTGTCCAGTTTAACCACTTTCTGAGTCTTCCTCAAGGCAATTAGACAAGCAATACTGGGGATACGGTGGGTTATAACACCAGACTATGTTTTTTCAGGTTGTTTATAACAGCTGCATGGTATATTTTATCTAGCTTTGAAATCAATGGAGACTGCGCAAAATACCGTCTGCCCCTCCAGCAGCAGCAGATTTGTCCAGCTTGTTTGGTGGATATGTGGATGAGGAGAAGGGAGATTGTCCTGGGAGCAAATCCGTCACACCGGCTCACTATTGGTGGCAGAGTCACTGCAGAAAAATCCACCACGTGTATTATTTAGGTGTCATGTGAGGGACAAAAGGAGGACATCTGTTCCTTGTGTGGGGTGGGAATTTTTTTCTTACGGTAGATGTCTCATTTTTAGACTCCTAAGTGAAAAGGGAACCCCAGGGTTCTGCTACATGGGCCCAGCCTGCTTGTTGTCACTTCTCCATATCCTAAATGAGGTACCCCTTTCAGCAACAAGCTAGAATACAGTTCGTTAAAATTTACATCTTCGTCTTTTGTTCTTCAGAGGAAAAATCCCCTAGGGCACTAGGCATTGAGTAAACCATCAACAAGCTTCAGAAGCAGCCGCTTGGAATGAGAGCCAGGCATCTTTCCCCAGTGAAGAGAGGAATCCCACCGGCCAGTCTCTGAGGCATCCCTCGGCCTTTCTCATGCAGGTCCTAAGGCATTCTGACAAAAATGCAGAAACTACTGTGGAGTGTCGTTTCTAGAGCAAGAAGCCCAGGTTCTTCCAACCTTAGTATGTGAATAAATACTGTGACGTTCTCTGCCCCATACCAATCTGATAATCAATAAGTAATGAATGGATTCATAATCCACTCTTACAACTCAAGAGATCTAACAGCATGGACATGGAAGAAAGGCATGATCTGTCTTTGAAAATTATGAGTGGATTTATACACATCACCTCACATTTATGCGCATCATTTTGAGTCAGTTTTCATACAATCAGGCCCTTAAAGGCTTTGCTAATAACTATTTTCATTCAGAATATAATCTTACTTTTTACCCTAAAATTCTTTTTTTATCCAAATATTTTTTAAATATTTTATTCAAAGATCTCCTTTATTTTTAAAAAACAAAATGGGGGGACAGGTTGGTGAATAAAGTTAGTTACGGCAGGGGGAAAAGTTCCCTGTTTTGCCTGCCTGAGGAAGAGCTTTAGCTCCCTAGGGACGAAAGAGGATCAGGCGTATAGACCCACTGAATATTTATCCATTCTCTCAACAATTGTATCGAGGGCCCTCTATACGCCGAGGGCCGGGTTGGGGGTTAAGGATCCTAGGGGAACAGCACACCGTTTCTGACCTTAAGAACATGAGCAGAGTGCGGAGTCTGCTTAAATCAGTTTACAAGAGCCAATTGTTAAACACTGAGGCCGTTAAAAATAAGCATTATTAAAAATTAAATTATATAAACATAGAATTAAATATATTATTTTTAAAATAAAGGCAATAAATACTCAAAACTCACCCCTTCCTAATTTCTTTACTACAGTTTGCTGTTACTTTTGTTCTTGAGGTTATTTCCGTGCATCGTATCAGTATGGTGGAAACACCACACTCTACTCTACCTGCTCTCCTACCCTTTACTATACCATATTGTATTATTCTACATCACACTATGGGCTACGCACAGCTCTGTCATGTCTATATGGGTTGTGTTTTGCTCCATTTGTAATAGTCATTGAAGCTAAAAAAGTTAATTTTAATGTGTATATGTATACTCTTGCAAAGCAGTATGATGCAGCAATAAAATTCTATGAAAGAAACAAAATGGAAATACAAGTTCAAAGAAAACAAGGGATGATATCAAATTTCTTATTTTTAAAGAAGAGCTTATTTGTGTCTTTTAATGTGGGTATTTAGATTCATTGGATACAGTAAAAGGAGGAATATGTTTTATTTTAAATTATCACTATTTAAGTGATAAGTTTTTATAAAGTGATAAAATTTTATAATGAGAAAATTGTAGGGGCCGGCCCTGTGGCCGAGTGGTTAAGTTTGCGCACTCCGCTGTGGCGGCCCAGGGTTTCGCTGGTTCAGATCCTGCGCGTGGACATGGCACTGCTTGTCAGGCCACGTTGAGGCAGCATCCCACATGCTACAACTAGAAGGACCTGCAACTAAAAAATATACAACTATGTACTGGGGGATTTGGGGAGAAAAAGCAGGGAAAAAAAAAGATTGGCAACAGTTGTTAGCTCAGGTGCCAATCTTTAAAAAAAAAAAAAATGTAGATGTCTAAATACGTGTGAAGGAGTATATAGAGTTTCGAAATTCTTTTTGAGGGTCTGTAAGCCACATAATCCTTTTTGAGAAATAGATGAGGTATAAATGCCGTCAGAAATATGTAAAATTTGGGGATGTCTGCTTGTACATCAGGAGCCCCCGTGTGTACATCAGGAGCCCCCGTGAGAACAGGTGCGTGCTGTCAGGTACTGTGGAGAGAGTGTCTCCCGCAGGCTGTGTGCGCAGTGTTCTTGGGGTCCTTAATTAAGTTCTATCCCTTCCAATCTCACAGAGAAGTTTGCCTCTGAAAAGACACATCAGTGACAGGCCATTTAGTTGTATTCCATTTCAAAGGAGTTCACAAATTGTCGCAGGTATCCACCCAAAGTTATATTCCCTTTTTCCTAAAATAATAACTAGCCAGCTTTTAATAAACGTCTACTATTTTCCAGACCAGGGGTTCTCCTGAGAAATTGCTGTCGATGCAAATCTTCATACCCCAAATGACTGAATCAGAAACTCCGGGCATGGGGCCCAGCACAGCGAGTGACTCAGATGCATGCCAAGGAAGGGAATACTCACAAAACATCTGGAGTGGGGCCTTCAACATAGGAGGCATTTAATAAAAACCAACTGCTATTGCATTTTCAATAAATAGTTCATTCTAGCTCCTGGGAAGATGTTTTCTAGTTAATTTGAGATCCTTGGAAGAAATAATTCTATGCGTTCAATTATTCATAGGATATAATGATTTATGTTTAAAATCAAACTCTGTCTTCCACCCAAAGCATATTTCTTCCTCCAACTTCCCCATCTATCAATGGCAAAAATACAAACATAGGTGTCTGAGGGTCTCAACCAGAAACTTCCCTATTGAAAGACCACACTGGGTGACGTCAGGTGCCCATAGGCCTGACACAGCTTTTTAACCAGATGCTTCAGGATGTGAAATTCTCACCATCAAAGTCACTTCACTGAGTTAGGACATTGCATCCACGAGTCAGTTCTCTGTTAAAATTTGCATCTCTTTCCTGGAGAAGACATTTATTAATGCAAAAGCATATCAGGAATTCAGAGTAGCTAGACTCCATCTGGTAGACCCCTCGGGGTCTTGTGCTTTTGCTGCTGCTGACAACGATGATGGTGATGCTGTCAGGCACATTGTTCTGAAAGGAGATGCTGAGCCAAGTCTCCAGCACCCGGGACAAGAGGACGGCTGTGTGTCACTTACAGAGGAGCTGTGCTCACACTCTGCTCCTCTCTGGACTGTCGCTGGGAAGCTTGCATCACAGGACTGAAACAAGTCAGGGAGACCCAGGACGTGCCTGGGTCCACAGACCAGGGAGTAACAGGCTCCAGTCGCAGGTCAGGACCCTCCACACCCCGAGAGGCCACCCCCTGCTCTGCTTTGCCCTGGAGAACTGCAGGTGGACAGGGACCTCACTGACCTCATTATGGGACCCGGCATCCGGCCCAATCTGTTGTCACATCTGTTCATTTGTCCTTTGGATTCCTCCCCACTCCCATTGCCATCCCTCAAGTTCTAGAACCTACTGCAGTGATCCTACCTCTAACCTCAACCTGCACCTATACGTTCTGCTCATTTCGTCTCTGGAAAAACACTCTTTTCACCGGTTTTGCAATTTTGCAGTGCTCTTGTTCTTTTGTCTCAGTGAAGAGGCAGTTTTACTTGAGTGACTCCAGGAGTCACTCAGGTGCATACTTAATGCGGATTCCCAGGCCGCGTCTCATGGTACTCTGCTTTAGGTGATTGGAGGTGAAGTTTGTGGACCTAAATCTTGATCACCTCCACCCAGCGATAGTGACCAGGTTTTCCTGATGTAAAAACCATACTCCGAGAAACACTGCCTGACAGGGCATTACATCCAAACTCAGTTTGTCATTTAAGGTGCCCCAAAATTTGGCTTACCATACCTGCCCCACCCTTATACAATAAAGAGTACATGTTGACAGATCTGTGGCCGTGTGTAACATGAGCTGAGAGTACGAGCTCTTAAGTATATATTTCAGAGGACACCGTATGAACACAGAAGTCTAACCTAAATCAGAATATCCAGAAGCACATGTATCTCAAAGTATTTTTTTCCCCTTTGGAGGGTCAGCAAACAAGGAACCAGAATGAGGAAAGACGACAGCACCAAAGTGTGGCCTCTGAAATACAAGCAACTTTTCCATATCGAGGACCACGACTTCGCAACGAGACCTGGATTTGGAGGTGAGTATTATCTTTACAATACTCTTATGTCACAATCCATTGCACTGTCCAAATGGACTTGAACATTTGAAGCAATTAAGACCAAAACACAAGCAAAGATCATCAATTAAAAAAAGCAAACTTTTACAATGATATTCTCTCGAGGGAGAACAACTGATACTTCATGCATTTTAAATTGACCAAAAAACAGAGGAATATCTTTAGTAAATATCCTTACTGCTTATTAATTATAAATAGTGTGTGTTCAATAGATAGTGAATGGCTACATCCTGCCTACACACCAGCTTATTGTTTCAGCTAAAACCTGGAAATTGGATCACGTGATGATGTTCATGAAGTCTTACTGAATATTCTCGTAAGCTGGGACGCCCGGCGTTCCTAGGGGAACTAGCACGTCAAACGCCACGGCTCCCTGGGAAACACTCCGCCCAGGATTTTTCACCACATCTGGCAGCTGAAATTGTTTGACACGTTGGAGCGCCGGGGCCTGTGCTGAGCCCTCGGCTGCACCAGCTCCTTCCACCCACAGGGCCCCCAGGAAGTGGCGCTGTCACGACCCCTCATGTTCCAGTGTGGAAACTGGCTCAGAGAGGTTCGATCTGCTCCAGGCCGTGAAAACAGCAGCGAGTGGTGGAACCAAGATGCAGCGGCGGGAAGCGGGTGGAGAAGGCCATTCGAACGACATACTTGGAACAGTCTTTCCTCCCCAGATGCTCCAACGTGGGAGCAGCTGCATCACTGGGGGCGCCGAGTTTTCGAGAGACCCACGGGATGTGGTGACATCAGCCGGTTAAACTGAACTCCGCGCCTCGCTGTAAACCCGCGTTGCCCTCAAGTCTCGCGCTCCCGCAGTTCCTGCCGGGAGGACGCTCGGAGTCCCAGGGATGCGGCCGGAAGAGCAGCGGACGCGAGGGCGGGAAGGCGGCATCCTGCGGCCCTGGAACAGGGGCAGCTTTCCGATAAATGACCAGGACTTCCCGTTCTGGGGAGGCGGGACTTGATCCGAGCTCGACCGTGGTCCTGACCAGGGGAGGCGAGACAAGCAGGCAGGTGCCACGGGGGACTGATTTATTGACGTATTATTATTACGTAATAATTACTACGTAATATTATTACGTAGATAAAATCCAAGCTACGTCAGGTGGGGGTGAGCGGCAGGTTGTTAGTTTTCTTTTCCTGTAATCCATTGGGTTGCAGTTCTCCGGGTCTGGCTCTGACTTTATTAGATTAGTGACTCAACTTATAATCACCTGGGGGACTTAACGCCCCATCGCTGGGCCCCACCCCCGGGGTCCACTCCCTAGTTGGGGGAGGAGCGGGAAGCTTGCTTTGTGAGTCAATTCCTAGGGGATGCGGGTGCTGCTGGTCTGGGAATCACATTTGATAACTAGGAACTGACTTAGTTTAGCAGCTTCAGATGAAATCTTGGTGGGTTTAATTTTTTGTTTTTCCAGAGCATTTCTCACATTTATTGAACCTAACTTAAGGTTTTAGAAGCCTCGAAATTAACCAGGTTTAAAGAGCCGTCCGTTTTTACTGCTGGGAGTGCTTCCTCATCTCCTTTTCTTCACATCGCTCCTCCTCAGCTGTCGCGTCCTCACCGCGATTCGAAAGACGCCTGAGCCCTGAGCTACCGTTCCCAATAGACCGTTTCCTTCCCCAACCAAATTCGCCCAAAGTTGGCACAGTATGCTCTCCAACTACCACGTAGGGATTCTGTCCCTTGGTCTCTATGATTCCATAAAAAGTCTCTAAAATCTTTTCCCGCCGCTGTCTGGAGAAAATCTGAAGATAAACGTGCGCGGCCGCGGGCCCTTTGCGCCACCAGGGGGCGCCGGTCGCACAGGAATGACTTGGACGCCCGGAATGAGGTTCTCTTCCACCCTAAGGCAAAAAGCTGCCCAAGTTCCTGTCCGGTTGGGCTCCTCAGTTAAACGAATTCCTATCCTAGAGGAAATGGTTTTTATGGGTCTATTTCAGACCGTTGAAAGCCAGAAAGATTGAGAGAAAAATGACTGTCCTTGAATTTGGACCTTGAAAGGTTGTGTCGCTCCAAGTGGCCCGAGGACCAGCCCCAGGAGGCCCAGGGAGTTAGACATGCACGAGCTCAGGCTCCACGCCGGGCTTTCTGAATCAAAATCTGCGTTTTAAGCAGATCCCCAGGTGTGTTGAATACACGGTACAATTTGAGAAACGCAGCTATAGATTACGAGGAGCCGCCCTCCGCTTTCGTTTTAAAACACGTGTGCCTTCATTCTGCCTTCCCTGTTATCATCCGCATCCCCCAGAAAAACAGAACATTGACCTTAAATTTCCACTTCTCTTGATGTGTTAGAGATACGTCTTAGGATTTTTTTTCTGAGTGAAAAAGCTTTTTTAAAACAATTTTTTTTTTCCTGAGGCTACTTTGTGAGGTTATTAAAAATGCAATTGAAGTGTGCTACTTAGTGGCAGGTGGCAAATCACCACATGATTAAGAAATTTTTCTGACAGTCATGGACGGGGGCTAAATGGTGTCCGAATGGCTTGTGTGCTCAGTCACTTCAGGCGGAAAAATCCATAAATCCAGTCAGAAACGTCAGTCTGGTGTCCGTCTGTGAAATACAGTCGCTGGCCCTCTCTTGTCTCAGTCAGAACGGCTTCCTATCCCGTGACCCATGCCCTGCTCTCTGCAGGCTGCCTTCCTGGGGAAGTCAGGCCACAGGATACAGAGACAGGCTCTGATTTATCTTCGCTTTCTCCATCCCGTCCGTAACACAGACACGCACAGGCTGCTTCCCTCTTGAGCCAAATGTAACTTCAGCACTTCTCCTGCCTTAATGTGTTTTCCTAATTAGCTTTAACATTAAAACCAGCTGCTACCGCAGTGTTTCTTACTCTGATAACACATTAGAAGATTAATTGACTCATTATGTGGAAACAGGAGGATGTAAATTTAGGGGAGCCTTTGTTTCACTTGGGTTATAAATTGCAGCTCATTTTCTTTCTTTATGTGCTCCCTACCCTTTACATCTCCCATAACTAAAGGCTTTTTGTGTTGTCTTAGAGATGATCATTTCTTTGTTTCTTTAAAGGGAAATCTGTTCAGCATCTAGAGACTGGCTACTGAGTCAAGACAAAAGCTAAGATGCAAAAGCCACTTGTAGAGTCTTTGCTTGTCTAACCAGAGGAGGGACGGGAGCCACAGTACCGGGCTGTGGTCCTGCAGTCAGCAGCTCTAGGTTTCAGGCAGTGTCTCTGGTCTCTGACCTCTCTGAGTGATTCCCTCATGGCTCAGATGGGGCTAAAGTCGGCTCGACCCAGCTAACTGAGGGCTGTAATGACCATATGAGATAGTATACATGATGGATCTTAAATGCACTGTGCAGATAAGATGTTTAACTTTTAGTTAACTCTCCTTGTCCCAGCATGCATAAAAGCCAGATTGCTGATCTATCTTTATGTTATAAAAAGAACTGCAAACGTGTGTGCTGCTACCTCGTTAGCGATCCTGGGAAAGCAACACCATAATCGTAACAGTTGATATTTATTGAATTCTTACCACATTTCAAATGCTTTATATAGAAAGTTAATAAAAGTGTTTATGAAATTGTTAGTATTCATGCTGTTGCATGTATTACTGATCCAATGGATAATGAGTAAGTTGTCCAGACATTTGAATGGGGTTAGGCTACGGGCCCAAGCGTCCTTCCGTTTAGTCTCACAGCAACCCTATCAGGTAGGGGCTGTGTACTTATTTCTCTCTTTTACAGATGAGCAAACTGAGCTTCCGGGCTGTGAAGGGATTTACAGAAGTCTGGCTTTCACTTGGGTTTATGTGGCTACGAATTCCATGATTCTCAGCCCATCTGCTTTATCGCCACCTTCCCTCTGGGACTCAGCTCCTTATCTGTAAAAAGAATGATCTTTGGAGCTTTTATCCAGCTCCAAAATCCTTTGATTCTGCGTCTTGCCTTTGCATGTCCCTAACCCTCCTCTCTGTCCTCAGGAGTGTCAGAGCGCAGTGTAGATTCCTAGACCCAGGAGTGAGGTGCACTTGGGCGTGGAGCACAGAGGAGACAAAAATGGGGTCAGAGAGCATCTGAGGGCAAGCACGGCCCCTTGAAATGGAAGAGCTCAGCCCCACGAGAAGAGAATAAACCAGAAGGAGGAAAGAAGAAATCTCAGACATTTCTGGGAACCCATTCCTAACAGACAAGCCATGTTTTCACCCCACTCTCAGACCAGCCTTCACACAACACTGAGGGCCAAGTGTCCAGTGATGGCATGAGTATATCCTTGTGTGGTGGCTTCACAAAACTGTCCCCAGGCTTGCAGAGAGAGTCATCAGCAACTAGCATCCACCTGAAAGTCATGAGATCCTAAATTCACGTTGCTCTCAGTTTTTGTCATGAAATAAGTGCTCTATGAGAAGCACTTATCATTTTTCGGGGCGGAGTGGACTGATTATTCACGTCTGAGTGTAGGCCTGGGAGTAGTGACTTGCATTCCTGGGAGGAGTTTCGCATTTTTGCTGAATTGCAGTAGCAATAACATTTGTTTAGTGTCATTTATTGAGCTCCAGTTAAGTTTACTAACTGTGTATTATTTCTAGTCCTCAAAGAAGTCTGGAAGGTGAACTACCACTCGGAGTTTATAGGTGAGGAAGCTCGGCTCGGAGATGTTCCTACCCGGGATCGCACGTGGTGGGTGGAGCTCAGTTCAAACTCTAGTCTGTGGCTCTGAGGCCAGAACTGTCTCCAGGACATTCTGCTACCTCTCAATACCTCTCCAGACCTTTTAGTCCCTTAAGTATTGGAGTTAAGGGGAAGATTTGCTCATCCTCAAGGGCCAGGTAGGGCCATGGATGAGATCTTTCCATGACTTTCTACTTTGATATCTCTACTAATTAAAGAAAAAAGGCAAACAAAACAAAAGCGTCAGAGCTAAGGCTGATAAAATAATAATACTGAGCTGTTCCCAAGTTAATGCTTAATCGTAATTATCATTAAACAATTTTTTAATAGAGTTATCATGATTAATGTTATAGAAAGTAATTGATCAAATATGGCAGGAGGTAGTTGGTGGTTAAGACGTAAGTGAGGCGTCCCCGAAGCCTGAAGCAGAGAGGTGTTTGAGTGACAGGCCCAGTGCTGGCTGGCTGGAGCCCTTGTAAGTGAGGAATGCTACTGAGGGTCTGGACTCACAGGACAGGAAAATCTGTGCTGATAAAGTGAAAGTAACATCAGCCATTAAAAAATGGGGGAGTCATAGATGGTGAACAGGGACTGGTGAGGCATATCTTGTTTTATCGTTTGTTGTGAATTTAAAACACAATGATAGGTGCTTTATTGAATTGTAAGCACATATATGTCACATGTAGCACATCCAGACATTAATTAGCCTCAGTAAAGAAGCTTTTCTAACCTGACCCTTCTAAATCCCAGAATCTTGACTAAAGCAGCCACCTGGGATCCATGTAGGCAAGATTTCTATTTTTCAACCATATTTTTAACTCTGGACTATACAGAGACAATAAAATTTAATTGAGAATTGGTCACTATGGAAAGAAAACATATAAAGACTATATGCATAAATATATAAATTATTTTAACATATATGTGCATCACGTTTCATACACAACACTGAACAACAAAGTTACTAACGTCGCTATCCCCTCACGGGGGAACTGGTGAAACCCTCTGTGAGGTGTAGCAAGGAGGCGTCTGGTCTCAGTCTGGGCTGGATTCCCGTGCGTCGTTATCCGGGTTCTCTGGCCCCGTGACCCTGGTTCTGTGAGACCCAATGGCAAGTGGATCTCAGCAGTCATCTGTCTGAAGTTGTTCCAGTTCTGACTTTCAGTTTGTTCTCACCAATGCATTCCTAAGGATGTTTTCTTCATCCCAGTGAAGCTTGTGGTTACTGATGACCCGGGAGGGGCATTTGTGCATGTGCATCCCTGTGCAGCACTGTGCTGTCACCGTGTTCCTCTGACCCGTAGGCACTGCCCAAGTGGGAGAGGCTGATTTTGTGGCAGGAGAGGAAAGGCTCCCCATATATCCCACAGTCATCAACTCCATGACTACTCCACTGCCTGACTATAAAACACAGCTATTCCCATAGAGAATGCACAATTCTATGTACTCTTAGACAGGCTTTCAAAACATTGTTCCTTTCTAAATCACTGTTAGCTAAAAAAAAAGCACAAAAAACAAAAAGCAAAAAAAACTGAAAACACCACTTCTATACTAGAAGTATATTATAAGAAGGAAACTATTGTTTTTCCCAAGCAAATGTGTAACAATTATTGAAATAGCGTTTATTTATACATGTGCCTTTATATTATAATTGAATGTATACTAATATATCAATAGATTATGGAGAAATTTGTTTTAAAAAGTTTGAAAGTCATCTATTTGCAACATTGATCTCTCTCTGCTTTGAATGTTTCAAAAATAATTTTAATGATTTCTCAGTATATTACCCATCCTTCTTTCTGAAGGGTCTCCAGTCCCAGTGGGTATAGATGTCCAGGTTGAAAGCATTGACAGCATTTCAGAGGTTAACATGGTAAGTCTTTCCGTGAGATATTGGTCTTTTTCTGAAAGGACAGAAACTCAGTATTCTCCAAATCAATGGTGTTTTAATAAATCATTTTAATTATGTATATTACCTATTTTTTCCTACTTTGCTTATTAGAATTGATGTTGCTTTCCTCTCTTCCACCCACTTCCTTCTGCCCTTGATTACAACTCCCATTGCTTCCCTGCCCCTCTCTTATCCTTCTAATGGTCTTGCAGGGGTGGACACCGTAGGACAGCGTGATATATTGACCTCTGTAACACGAACCAGGAAGAAATGTACAAGAAGAAAGGATGATCATAATTATGTGAAATATGAAATCACAACCATGAGTCTTTACCCGTAAAATGATAGACAGTTGACCCTGACTTGGTGGACTACTTCCAAATGTTTCAATTAATATTAACTTTGCTTATCCGTAGGCAAACAATAGCAAAGGACAAAGGATTTTTAAAAATTCATGGGACTAAAACTTTAATTAAGAAAACTTTGTCCACTCCCTTATAGTTTCTAGAAATCTGGAAGAGACTGACGTTGTTTTCTTTTGCAATGGAATATCTGTGTTTTGACGGAGTACGGCTTGCAAACCGCTCTTCCTAAAACCGGAAGCTGATCAACTGTAATTACGCTCGCCTCCCTCTTAGCCTTTTTCTGCCTTCTTTGCCCTTTCGTATGCTGGCTTTTTCGTTTCCTCTTCCGCCCCCCTTAACCTGGATTTACCCCCTCAGCTATTTTTATGTTTTACCGCCCCCTCCCATCATTCTTCCATTCTGTATCTCTCACTTTAGAACCACCTTCCTTGTCTACATAGTTACCGGAGCCAGTTATTATTTAAGTAATTTTAAGGTTTTTCAGGATTTTACTTTAAGAAATAATGGCTAACACCACAGCTGACTTACATGCACAAGCGAGTTATCTGTTTTCAGATGTATTTCCTTTTTACCTACTATTATTCTAACTTGTTAATATCTCAGAGCTTTTTGTAGCCCATTTTAGTATCTTTTTCTATGCCAAATAAAGAGTGCTTTATAGTTTCAAATTTTCAGTGTCCATTTCCTCGTTCTTAACTAATTCATGTGTATTCTCATATTTGAATCGCTCTTCCATCTCATTTTGTTCTCTTCAGTTGTGCTGTTTTTTCCATCATCCCGGGAGCTGCATTTCTTTCGTTTCTCATCAGTGCTTCACTGTGTGCACCTGTTCGCGACAAGGGCCCTCCCAGGTCCTCCCTGGTGAGAGGCAGCTCTGAATGTGTTTGGTTCAATTTTGGATTTGGTTTGAATTTTAGTTTTGTTCCCACCTCCCCCAAAAGTATTAAGCAGTTTACTTGTGAAAGCCTTTAGATGGGGCCTGTGCCCTCCCTTCTACCTGGGAACTCACACTTGGCTTTTCTCTTAGGTTCATCCTGCTTCATTCATTGATGTCGCCTCCCTGGTCCTGGCAGTCATTTGAAGTTGCAATTCTTAACCAAATGCTTATTGTCCTTCATTTTCTACTTTAAATATGGAAGCTTGGTTTTGGGGGAGTTTTAATAATAAAACCGGGGAATACCTCCTCCATGAATAGGGAGGCTGGAAATTACTGTCATTTCAAACTCTATTTTCCCTCTGGAGAGATCTAGTTTGTTGTTTATCCAGTGTAGTCATTTCATGTGGGTTGTTATGTGCATTAATCCTTGCATTTGGTTCCCTTTTCTGGAAGCCTTTACATGTGTGTTCTTGTGAAATTTTCAAAAGTTGCTTTGGGATACTTTTTGGAATAAAAGTGTTTTTGATACATGAACTGTAGTTTATATGTAGTGTTTTTCATAGAATTAAGTTTTGAAATTTAGATTCTGTATATAATTTTTGTAATATGCAAGTACCGCAACTAAAGATAAAAATGTAAAATACAGAGAGAGAGAGAACAAACTAGGGATCTCTTAAGGAAGCAGGGCCTGGAAAATATAAATTACTTAAATTGAAAGATCAAATAATCTCCTCATATGTATACTTAATTAATATTTTTATTATAATGATTCCTCCAACTAATCATTGCCATCCAAATACTGAGTGAAAAATTATAGGACACATAAAAATTCTAGAAAAGTCTAAACAAAATTTATGACCTGTTACATCTTGTTTCAATCTTCAGTTAATGTCTTTCTAGTCCTTATTATTTAACCCAATATTTATTTCAGTTCAGTACCAAGCCTTAAATGAAACTTTCTTTGTTTTAACCACCCAGCTCCCAAAGGGAATAGCACCAACACTACTCACTACTCAAAAATGCCTTGTTGAGAAAGTTTCAGCTCTTCCCCAACCAAAAACAGCTTTTACTGGCATTTCCTTGAGTGTCTTGCACTCCGGGAGTAGGCTCTCATTTCCCCTCTCCTGGTATAATCTGTAAGTCATCCCTGAATGACTCAGCATGCATCTAAAATTCTCATTGTCTGCACCCCGCAGCCCCCACAACTGGACCCCATCCTTCCCCCCGAATAAGGTTAGCTTTGGTATTCAGTATCGGCTGAAACTAGACTGGGTTCTCCATGCCTGATCTGAAAATGCTGTCTAATTATCAGTGACCTCCACTGTTGGCTTCTTTTACTTCTCATTTATCATCTTCCCACTCTCCCTTGTCCCACCCTGATTCATGTTAAGTGCCTGTAAGTTTTGTCCTGCTCCCCACTCAACATGCTACTCAGCCTGCTTCTCAGGATAATGCCAACAGTGGTGAGGCTGGAGTATCACTGATGTGCGCCAGTGTCTGCCATCTGACTTCAGGCTCAGTGTCTGCCCACTGACCTTCAGATCAGACTGAGCATCTAATTCTAAATATATGCTCACTGAAGCAATCCATGCAATCACCTACACCATTCTCTGAGAGTCGTGTTATGGCAATGGATTAACTACTTCATTTATTTGCCCCTACACTAATCCAAAATTACACATGGCCAATGCTCCAGATTAACCAAAAGCGGTAGCAAGATGTACCTCTATTCTGAACCTAAGGAAACAATCTCGTCTTTAATTGGTGACTGATTTGTAGTTTACTGAGATTTGTCCTTTGTTTATGTAATAAATGTCAAAATCCTATTATATATGTTAGTTCAAGAAAAACAAGTATTGTTGGGAAATAAATGATAGCAAGAAGTAGGTAATTGCAAAAGGTGGAACACGTTGTCATTGTCCACACCCAGTGACTCGGCCGAAGCTAGGAGGGCTTCTGTTCAAACAAACAAATTACTAAATGTAGCATCTGAGAGCCAAACAAAACTCAGATTATTGACCAACCAAATTCTTTCTGCTAAAATAATGTTAATATTGCTTTTTCCCCTCATCCTTACCCCCTTATAACTGGGACGCACATTAACAATTCAAATCCTGAGCCATGCTGGGTCAGAATCCAGGAACCAGCTTCGGGTGAACGTGCCGCTTTTATAAATTCACAGTAGAGTTGGAGAACCACCATGTCGTGGTATTCTCTCTGTCTCCCAAGCTGAGGAAGAGCATTGTCCCTGGCCCAGGACCTCTGACAACATGCTTTTCACTAACAGCTCAAATAAATGCCGTATCCAGGCTTCTGTGGGACTGCAGTTTATTCAACATGGAGGGCCTTCTTTAACAAAAACAATACAAATTTATGGATTCAAAATCAATTATAAAAGTGAAAATATATATTTACAATGAGAAAATAGATCAAAATGAGACACTGGGCCATGGAGTTTTGGGTCCCTTTCTTGTGAGCTCTCTTTAGGTGATAGACCAGAACACTTACATAGAAAAGCTTTCCATTTACAACCTGGCTTCCCTTCGCCTACTTGAGTACACTGTAGTTCCCAGAAAGTCTCAGAATTCACCAGAGACCAGGTGAGAAAGAGGCTCTGCAACTTGAGCTCACCGGCGTCATCCTAAGTCTACCTGAAAACACAAGATGAGCCATTCGCTTATAGGTCCTGAGACGTATTCCTACTGGCTTTGACCTGTCCCTTTTTCTCTTTGCCTAGGACTTCACCATGACTTTTTATCTCAGACACTACTGGAAAGATGAGAGACTCTCCTTTCCTAGCACAACAAACAGAAGCATGACCTTTGATCACAGATTGATCAAAAAGATTTGGGTGCCTGATATCTTTTTTGTCCATTCTAAAAGATCTTTCATCCATGATACAACTATGGAGAACATCATGCTGCGTGTACACCCTGATGGAAATGTCCTCTTCAGTCTCAGGTAGGGAGAGCTGTCTACTGCTTTTGGCTTCCTTGACCCATGGCCCTCTGCACCAAAGCTGGTGGGTCTCACTTCACACTAAACTGACAATAGTGCTGACTGTGTAGTGATGCTGGAGACTGTGACACAAGCAGAAGATGTGATTTTTCCTGATTCTAACTTCCAGATTTTAAAGCATGGTTTCCTAGTCTAACTATACACACTCTGGGTATATGTTGAGAGTGACAGGAAATAAGCTTGGACAAACAGAATTGGAGCTGAATTATGGAAATCCTCAAAAGTCTGGCCACAACTTTATAGCTACACAAAACTGCTTTTCCTCCTAACCAACTTCACCCTACCCTGCACCCCACCAAGCAGTCTTGGAATCTTGGATTAGCCCAATAATTTTCTTAACTATCTCCTTCATTTTTCATGGGAAGTTATAGTCATCATCCAAATTATCGCTAATTTCCTTACTTCCTTTTTCGTTTTTTTTTTTTTACTCAAAACGTTTGTTCTGACACTAAGCTATAACATCCCCCATTTTTAATGTGCCATATGTTCTTTTAGCCTGAGTCCTATGCATTCTGAGTGGTTTATCATAGGTAATTCTAAAAATGTTTGGTAAATACAAGCAATTCAGTTTTGTTCATGTCTTAGAAATCCCAGAAAGATTCTGTGGTAAACTGAAAAAAAATGCCTCCCCAAGAAATATCCATGTGCTACTCCCTGGAGCTTGCGAAGGTTATCTTATCTGGCAAAAAAAAAAAAAAAAAAAAGAAGGATCTTTGTAGATGTGATTAAGTCAAGTGTCTTGAGATGGGGAAAATGTCCTGGATTATCTGGTTGGGACCTAAATGCAATCATAAGTATCCTCTCAAGAGAAAGGCAGAGGCAGATGTGACACACACACAGAGTAGAAGGTAATGGACCATGAAGTCAGAGCTTGGAGCATTGAAGCCGCCAGCCTAGGAATGCTGGCCGCTGCCAGAAGCTGTAAGAGGCAGGCAATGAGTTTCCCCCAGAGCCTCGGGAGGGATCAGGGCCTCTCCGACACTGCGGTTTCAGCCCAGTGTTACAGCTTCACACTTCCGGCCTCCGGAACTGGGAGAGAATACATTTCCGTTGTTTTACGTCACCAAGGTTGCAGTAATTTGTTAGTTATTAGCTAATAATCCAATTAGGATTCGAATATGGTTCTTTTGGTTCATTAAAAACATCTTGCTCAGGGGCTGGCCCCGTGGCCGAGTGGTTAAGTTCACGCGCTCCGCTGCAGGCGGCCCAGTGTTTCGTTGGTTCGAATCCTGGGCGCGGACATGGCACTGCTCGTCGGACCACGCTGAGGCAGCGTCCCACGTGCCACAACTAGAAGAACCCACAACGAAGAATACACAACTATGTACCAGGGGGCTTTGGGGAGAAAAAGGAAAAAATAAAAAAATCTTTAAAAACATCTTGCTCATTTAGTACAGAGGTGCAACCCCCACACATTTCATAGAGGCCGTCCATAAAAAACACAGTTAAAGGAAAGTACTACCTTCAACAGGACCTTTACACCTGGAGTAACATAGGCCTCACTGGAGTCAAGCCTCTCCAGGAATCAGGAGCAGAACGGAGACACCTGGCCAAGGAATCTACTGTTTTAAATTACGTATTTTGATGAGGGGATGTCCTCTAAAGAATTAACTCAGTGGATTGTCCTTACCCTGCACATTCCAAAGACAGACTTGGCCCGTGCCAGGCTCCTGGGAGGTAACCTCCAAGCCCTTGGAATGTCCTGCCTGATAAGAGCGTCTTTGTTTATGGCGGCCTTGGGCCACACCCAGAGTCAAGCTAACAATGGGATCCATGGTGGGGGCCTTGAGCCGGGTGTCAGCTGGGCCTCGGAGGAGATGGAGACTAAGGTCAGCCAGACCTCAGTGACCAACCCTCAATAAATATTTTGGACCCCAAGTCTTGGTAGCTTCCCTGGTTGGCAGTACCCGACGGGTGTTGTCACACGCTGTTCCTGGGAGAATCAAGCACTGTCCATAGCACTCCACTGGAGCAGGACAAGTGGGAACCTGTTCCTGTCTCTCCAGGACCTGCCCTGTGTTCCTTTCCCATTGCTGGTTTTCATTTGTATCCTTCCCTCGCAATAAACTGTACCTGCACGTATAACAGCTCGGATGAGTTCTGTGAGTGCCCCATCCTCTGTCTCTGATCACCCTCCACATCTGATCAAGCTCCCCATCTCCCCCACCCCAGGTGATG